GGAAAAAAATAACCATCAACAGCCAAGCTATTGGGGTCTTTCTTTTCTGTCTTTTCCATGTCTTGGAAATGCAAGCAAAAAGAAAAGGACTTCTGGCAGCAAACCACCAAGATAAATATGCCAGGCTTCTTCCAGACAGAATTGTTTCATGCAACACTTTGGCTATTAAAGTGTTGGTCTTAAATCTTATCAGAAACTATAGTACATCACATAGAATTTGTTGTTGTGTGCATATGGAATTATCTTCCTTTAAACTGATATCACAAACTACTATATGACAGATGGGTCAAGTCCTGATTTGCAGTATTGTAACATTTGGAACAGCAAAGTAACATATTTGATAGAACTGGCAAGTTTTATATATGATTCAACCCAGAATATAAAAGCCACTAGAATTCCAAGAGGAAAATAATGAGCTGGAAACAATCAGAAGCCACACATCATAGGAAAAAAGTGAGAGATTTGAGTACATATTTAAATTAAAGAAAGAATCCAATATAGCTTGCTTGTTAGTCCAAAAGGATGTTGTAATTTTTTAAAATGCTGCCAGTTTTTCAAAGTAATTCATTTCTGTGCTTCCCTCTTTTTAAAATTAATTAATGACTTAATTAATTAAACTGCCAATATCTAGAAAAGTATATAGTAGGCAAAATTTCTTGCCACTATATGGGTGCAAAAGACAGGCAAGAAATTTAATATACACATGCAAATAAAGTTGTATTTTTTAAAAAAAACTACAACTAATTGACTGTACTAAAATCCTGCTTTTTGCACTTGGCTACATGAAATAACAATTAGCACTCGCACTGAATTTTAAGCATCCTACATTGTGAATTCTTGTAGTATAGTGGAATCTGTCAACTTCAGAAAAAATGTTTGTTGTCATAATTGTTTAGTACTTGAGTTGACGATAAGCAAAACAGCAGCTATTCCATTTGTACTTTTATCATTTCTGCTTACTTTTCGTTCAAAGTTTTCACCTCTTTTTTATGTCACTGTTTATGAAGTCATGTATGTCTTTATTTTTGCTGTCTCTCTACATCATTCACGAACAGCTCGATCGTCACTGCCCAAGCCCCCAGCTGGGCCCACTCCATCCATTCAAACGCAGACTAACATGATAAATCAGATGCTGAAAGGCATACCTAAGCAAACACCAAGTACTGTAATAGTTTTCCTTTTCTTTATTCAATTATATTCTAGTTTAGTCTCTTTTTTCTCATTAATTTACTGTAGTTTAGATTATAGGAAGCTAATCTCCACCATAGGCTTTCAATAATAATAAAAACGCTTCTATTGCAACACCTCTAGAAATAGCATTGGTTTCAAAATGTCCACATTTTTTTGTCTAGCAATGTCTGACATATGCAACATTTTCAAATATCAACGTCAGCACAAAATAACATTATTGTTGCATAACATTTTGCATGAGATATGTGACTTTGTATGATTTTAATGATGTATGAAAATATCAAGAAGTCTAATGTTTGGCAGACCAGTGTTCCAGCTGTGCATACATGATGCTAATTTAATAATTAACTGATGTTAAAAAAATTGATTCTTTAAAAAAAGTTATTGAAACGAAAACAAATCCCGGGAGTGCTCTACATTTCATCTAGAGACAGATCTCTGCGGATAAGCTTATTAAATTTTCACTAATTCAGGTTCCTCACAGTATGGATGGAGGTGATGGTGAGTGTTACCACACCAATACAGAAGGTGGTAGCAGCCAAAGCAGTTTTGGCAAGATGGTTCTTTTTTTTTTTACTACCTTCTTTCCTTCCAATGCCCTGCCCTTCTATGTCTGGTGAAGAAGCAGGGAAGACACTGTATTCTGTGCTGAACACATATCTGACCTGGATTCAAGGTGCCTCTTGTGCACACTGAAAGCCTTCTTCACAAGGCTTTGTTGATTCTCCCTTTGGGATAGAAGGGGAACATCACCCACCTTTTTTTCTCCAAACATAAAAGTGGAATTGGACCACTAGCCATCAACGGTCTTGATTAGTGTTTTCCAACTTTGGGTCCACAGGTGTTCTTGGATTAAAAGTCCCAGAAGCCTTTCACTGCTAGCCGTGTTGGCCTGAATTTATGGGAGTTGTAGTTCAAGAACATCTGAGGACCCAAGGTTAAGACCCACCGGTCCAGATCCAGGACTATGGCATTACAACCCATAGTTTTAGATCAAAATTCTTCTCATTTGAACATTAATTATTGAGCAAGTGTACTTTTCTAATTCTCCATTGCTTTTCAGCTAAAGGAAATTAATACAGTACTCTAAACATATATCTTTCAGTCCCTTCCTGTTTTGTTTTGTTTTTTAAGTCAAAGGAGGCAATCACAAATGGGCTGAATGTTTGTCAGGTTCAGATTAAATATTTGACAAAAAATGCTCATACAAGTTGACCATCCGCACGTTTTGTTGCCTAAGTAAACTTTGGCCAACTTTGGATTCCATGTCTCAAACTGTTAAACTATTATTTATTACTGAGTATCTTCACGCTCCTGATTTGGAGTGTTCCGTCATGTTTTATTAAATCAGTTTTCTATTATGTCTCTGCCAGTAAATTGAAGTTCAGTGTCAGCATACAGGATCGAATCCTCGTTTCATAGTAGGCAAATAGAAAAGCCTAATTTTTCAAGTTTAGATATAATGGAAAACTGTATCTCAGCAGTACTTAATGGTTAGAATCCTCTTGGAGTCATGCAGTATAAGTAGATAATTGCAAAAAAAGAACTTACCTACCACTTCCCCCCCCACCCCGAAAATAAGACTTAACCTGAAAATAGGCCCTAGTATGATTTTTAGGATACTTGTAATATAAGCCCTACCCCAAAAATAAGCCCTAGTTAAGTGAAACCCCGCCCTCCAACATTGTGCAGCAACCAGAAGAAGGTGACGTGACTGTATTTGAATAAATGTAGATTGTTGTACATGAAAAAAATAAAACATCTCCTAAAAATAAGCCCTAATGCGTTTTTTTGGAGCAAAAATTAATATAAGAACCTGTCTTATTTTCGGGGAAACACAGCTATCAATATGTCAGCCTCTTCTACCCCTTTGAGCTGAAGAAAATGTCTTGTGCTTAGTCTCATGCTCAATTACATATCAGCATGAAGCCATGAGAGAAAAAAACACTGATTGACTGCAGTAACATGTGCAGTTCTTCCCAAGGATTTTCTGGGCCTAAAAACAAACAAGAGATGAGGTAGTATATACAGCCATGAAATTCATTCTCAGTCTAGTGTCTGAACCTAGCCTCTGAGTTTGACTTGTTCTGTGATTAATTTTAAATAGAAGAATTAAACAAGAAGGAAGATACTTCTCTTATGCTTGTAACAGAAGGAATTTTTGGCAGGTGCAGCTTTCATGATCAGCTTGCCAACTCCCTCTTCTACACAAATGTTAGGACATGGACCATGCCATTCATGGCGTCTAATCGCCATTGGTAATCCTGCAAAGGCAGATAGTGTCAAAATGTTGTCTCTAGGAAATGTACATTTCTCAGTTCTCTCAAACTCACTTGACTTCAAAATATCAGCTGCCGAAAACATAGCATAGCACCAGTTTCCACTTCAAGATCCTATGCTTTTAAAAGTTTCATGGAATTGAACAGTGCATTTTGTGAGATTCACCACATTACTGCCAAGTAGGACTGTCATGGGAAAACTTTCACATGATAAAATGCTCCACACTTTTTGAAGGAATTATAGCAGGGAACTCCAAGGTTCTGAGGAACAAAGGATACTTTGCAGGCATACGTTCAGGCCTGCACCTAGTATATGACACGAAATGCTTGAGGAATTTGATATTTATGATTCCTCCATGAATTCACCTGTTCCATAAATCCTGTACTTCTCCAAAGGCGCAGGGTCAAGCTTAACCAGGCAGCCACTTTTGCACGCTTAGAAAAGTGTTTTTAAATACAAATCTTCATGTAAATTTTTTTAAAGGTGGAAATACTAAAGAACAAATCAACCTATGGATTAAAACATCATGAAGTAACACAGACCATAAATAAAATTATTAATTTATCATTAATGAATTGACATTTGGATTTTAGAGGGACTCCCATGGGAATACGTTCTAAGACAGCCTATAAATGTAGTGTAAGGGCAGCACACAGTCAAGGATTGTGTAGGATATGCTCTGAGTTAAATTTATTTATTTATTTATTTATTTATTGCATTTATATGCCGCCCATTTAGACATAGTCTACTCTGTCCCTTGTCCCTTTTTCTGATTTTTATCAGGGTACAGATCCAAGTCATGTTCATACACTATATACCTGTATATGTTCCAGTGCCATGAACATGTGGTACGGGATTATTATAATTGTCCACTGTCCAGAAATCTCTTTTGCGACACTACAGAGAATCTGCTTTCTGCTGATGTCTGTATGCCCATAAGAATAACTGGACACTATGAACTCCTTCCTGCTCTTGTAGGTTTGAGTTTAAGATAGTAGAAACACATTGATATCAACTTAGTTTAAACTAAGTTGATATCAGTGTGTTTCTACTATCTTAGTAGTGTGTTTCTACTATCCAATGTTGGAGATTTCTTGGTCATCTCATATAAAACACAACAGTTGTAAGGATGTTTATGATCCACGTCACTAGTGTATTTAGACCTTAACTATGAAATGACCCATTCTTTGTGCAAATGATGCCAAGATGCTGTCTCTAGGAAATGTACATTTCTCAATTTCGGCTAGTTGCTATCATCTCAAGTATAGCATACAAGAATTTGTACTACATATTTAAATTCAAAGCTGGAACACTGTTTCCGTAGTATAACAACAAACGTGGCTTTATGGTTTGCTCAGTACTAACTACATAATATTTTAATCCTTGCATGACATAGATTTTTTAAATTACTATTATTAAGTATTTTAGTTTGTTTTGTTTTTGTTTTTAAAATTAACCACCTAATCTTTTGGCCTTACATTGAGCCTATTCTATCTCACTCCATTTTAATTCAAGTTCTTGTACTACAGAAAATGTAGGTCGGTTAGTCACACCTGCCAAAAAGCTAGAAGATACAATTCGCTTGGCAGAATTGGTAATTGAAGTTCTACAACAGAATGAAGAACATCATGCTGAGGTGAGCAATAGTTGTCTAAAAAGCTAATGAACAGGGACCTATTGAAACAATTGTGTTCCTGTGTGTATTGCACCTCTAGCTCTGTATACCATAGGGTGAACATTGACAAAGGCAAGGTTACTGCCACCCCAAATAATATCATCACTAAATTAATGATGCAGGGAAAAATCTTTAGAAGATTTACTAAAATATGAAGAGTACAATTGAGCACCACCAATCCTAACTTCAGTTATTTAAAAGCAATGTGTGATTCATAGGACCCACCCAGTTTTTGTTCTCTGGCACTGAGCCAGTATAAAACTTCAGAGAAAATTGTGAAGGCACCTCTTGAGAAATATGTCCACATTTCATAGGAGAGAGCAGTAACCAGGAAATTCCTGTCTTTCCTGGTGTATGACTGTTTCTTGCAAGAATCAGAAATACTTTCTGTTCCAATATAATGGCTGAAATCCTGCTGTTTATAAATAAAAAGCATGAATAGCGGTACGCAAGTACTATTTACTGTTCCATATACCTGGGCAAGATAAATAGGATACAGCTTACTGATTACTCACTAGAGAGACAGCTCATTTGATACTGGCCTTAAAAGAGAGGAGAATTTTTGCAGGTTACCATCGTTGACACAAGCAAGCAGATGATTTCTTCCCCAGTATAGGAGCAGCCAATATAAGAGTTATTTTAGAATCTTCCCCCTTTCTTCCTCCACTAACAGTACAACTAAATTACTATGCACAGCATTGACAGGGTGGGCTGGACCCCTCCAATATAATTACCGCAGGTGGGCTGAGTCCTACCAATCAGTTGCATATACAGCAACCCTATGTAGAGCAAACCCACTTTGTTCATACCTAGCAGTAAAGAGGAACAGAGCATGTTCCTCATATGTCAGCCACTGCGTTCTTCTTCAATTTTATACATATCTTTATTGCCACTGGTGTATCTAAATATCTGTAGGAACACACCTACATATACATGCATAAGAGCATTGCCTTTTTCTTAAGAGCGCAAAGACCTGGGAATCCCATAATGAGTAAAGGACATTGTTTAATGTATGTATAAAATTCTGACCATATGAGATCAGTGTCCTTTTGTCATTACATATGACCAGCATTTTCTCCCATCTGTTCCAGATTGGAAGTTGGTTCTATGCAAATTCATATTTAGTCTTCTTGCAACCTGCAGTGAATTGTGGTGACTTTTTAAAAAAAAAATTAAAAATCCTTTGTTTATAACTTTTTAACACTGCAATATTATTGCCCTATGTTCTGTTTTCCTTCTCAATGGCATTTCTATATGACATTAAAAACATTTTAATATAAAATTTCACCATTTATAGAAAATATAAATAACATGTCTAATAAAAGCAGAGTAAAATATAAGTTATTTCTAGTGCACAACTAGGAATTAGTCCCAACTAATGCCTGATTGCCTATTTAAATTTCCTCCCTGTTTTTCTACTGTTCATTCAATCTTGGATGATCCTGGCAGGGGAAAGAGGTATGTGACTAAAAACTGAATGAAACAAGTCACCTCCTGTCATATTTCGTGCATGCCCTCTCGATGCCATGTTTCCTGATGGGATCTTCCCTGGGTCATCCTTGCTTTGTAACTTTGGATCCAAGGAATGTAACAGCAACTTCAGTTGGAACTGCTTGTGGAATTGTAGCCCTACATGGCAGGGCCAATGTGAGGAAAATTCTCCAGCCCATGCATGTAGTGATGGATATATTTTTACAAGCACTGCGGTTACATCCCAACACCTGCCCTACCTGCTTGGGCTCTTTCCTCAGCCTGTTGTTTTCCCCATGGCTCCCACCTGACCTATAGTTCACCCTGCTGGTATAGACATGAGTGACAAATACTTAGCTAGGATAGCAATAGCCTTCCTCTGGTTTGGTTCATTGTGTGTATTGTTCTGGTATATACAATATTTACGTATGGAGAGAGATTTATATAGAACTGAGGAGTAAAACAGCATCTGTTCCATGTGGCTGAAGTGCTGCTAATAATGTGAACCAGTTCTGTGAGCTGTGGTGACATACCTAAGAAAAACAACCCTGTTTCCCAGCTCATTTTCATTATGTCTAAGTATGCATTATGATTTTAAGATATGTTTAATCCAATTAATACAACACTACAGGAATTAAGTGGCAAGTGGCTGACTTTAAGGCACAGATTTTATAGGTGAAGCATTTAATCATATGGTAAGAGTTGCCTCAGGATAAATACAGTAGGACCCCCATATTTCCTGAGGGTTGGTTCAAGGCCCCCCCCGGTGGATGCTGAAAACTGTGGATAATAGCAAACAGACACTCTGTCTTTCCCTATACATTAACAAATATTTAAAATACTAAAAGAAAAAAATCCAGGAAAAAAACTATTTTCACATGTATTGCCAGAAGTGGCCACTAGTAGGAGCCAGAGACCGTGCTATAAATGCTTGTTAGTGAAGAATACATAGCGTGCTCTCTGACACCCTTTAGTGGGCAGTCCTGGTAATGCATGTGAAAACAATGTTGGGTTTTTCCCCTTTTACCTTGCTATAATATAAAATACACGTATTTCAGGTTTTATAGGTCAAGATTGATATGTACAATTAATGTGTATAGTGAAAAACATAATGTAACAGAAAAGAGTGTGATGACCAGTACAGCTGACTAGCACCCTTTTTCTCCATGTTTCCTGATATGATATCAATTGAAAAATAATTATTTCCTTCTCTCAGTTTGTATTGGTAGTTTTGAGGTTGTGAAATTCTTTACAGAGCTGATTCATCCATCTATTCAGTTTACATGTTTAATTGACTATCAGTTAACACAACAAGCTGAAAGGGTTTCTAAAGTGCATGGGCATGGAGCACACCTGTTGCTGACCACACCTTCTGAAATTCCTTATCACAACTGCGACCACATTGAAAGAGAGCCGACCATGGGGGGAAGGGGTGCCATAGAAAACTACCAGGAAGTTAGTTCATAATTTGTTTTAGCGAAAGCAAAAAAGGCCTGAAACAAATAAATCCAGAAAACAATAAAGAAGCAGTTAACCCAAGGAACAATGCAATTAGTGCCATGTAAACAAAAGGGTTTTGAAATGAGTTGCTCAATGACAGAAACCCTGTCTCCTCCACCACAAAAAAAACCCTCCTGCTACAAGCCAATAACTGTTGCAAGAGGCTTAAAAAAGTATAGATATCCAAAGTTTAAACAAGTTAAATAAGGGTGTGATCTCACTGAGAGAAAAAAAAATCACAATTCGGACTGCTTATGGAGTGATCCAGTGTGATCTATTTGGTGGCAAACATGGAGTGCATTTAGAAATGTGCTCCAGCTCAACCCCTCTCTGGACAAGCTCAGCCTTTTTGGTCCAGCTGTACGGTTTCTACTTTTGGAGTTGATTCCTCAGTAGAAGGCTTGCTTTGAGGATTATCTGCAATCAGGCACACATATTTGCGTGGTACCCTAACTTCAATGGAGATTGTTGGTCAATGTTAAATAGCTATCAAAGTCCCAGCATAGCAGATGTATGTTAGTCTAGCCATTTGCCTCTTTCTTCTCAAAGTTTTTTTTTTCTCCTTTGCAAAACAAGGGAATTGCATAAGGTGTAGCTCTTAAAGACTTGGAATACTGCAGTTATCTCTCCATATGTATCTATGTATGGATATGTATATATGTATTTTACCTCCTTGAAGACATGCATATATACATGTATTTCCATGATATAAAAATCATAGATTGGTGACTTGGGAAGGCCTCTCCTTTTTAATTTTGTAAAAAAGAAGGTAAGTACATGGTAAATAAATATCATTCTGTTGAACAGGATTGTGAAGAACAAGACCCTAACTTCTCATTTTCAAGAAAAGAATAAGATGCTATAATCACATGACTAATTTGGGAGTGAATTAGCAATTACTAAGTGCAGGTCCACTGATGTGCACAAATGAAAATACCATTCTCCATAAATGACTGCTCCTTTCTGCTCTGTTTCTAAAGTACTTGTTCTTTTTCTGAGTCATAACAGGCTTTTAATTGTAGAATTATGGAATAATTATGTTTGCCTTAAAAGAAAACATTATTTATTTATTTATTTATCTATTTATTTAATTTTATTTTATTTTATTTATTTATTTATCTATTTATTTAATTTTATTTTATTTTATTTGTATCCCGGTCATCTGGTCTATGCGACCACTCTAGGCGGCTATTACTATTGTTCTCTCTCAATACTGAATTTACACATTATTTATGAGTTCCTCGGATGTTTCCTCCATCCTTGCCCACAATACTTAATTTAGCTTTATAATTTTATAGTTCCTAAAAAAGGGGGGAAAAAAGCAATGTGAGCAGAAAGTGCTTGAGAACTTTGAATACAATAGTAAGTCTACAAAATATTTGCAGGGGGTGCTCCTCTACTTTCATAAAATTTCTGTCGTTGCAAGTTGTTTAGCGTGAGCTTTTAATCAAAAACCATGGATAGGATGTATATAACTAATTAATTAGTATGTACAGGGAACGTAAGAAAAAGAGTTATTCTAGTAGTACTATTTTACAGATAATCAAGTAATTAGAGTCAATGTTAATAGTATCGTATGAAATCCTGTTGTTTAGTGCAGTAAATTGCTCTAAAACAGGCCCAGTTGAAACAATGGAATTTAGAAAGAGATGACTCAGTGGGCTTCCTCTAGTGTGACTAAACTAAGCAAGATTTCAGTATAATCGCAAAATGTCAAATAACTATTTGATTATTTAACAATTGAGATTCTCACATCATGTAATTCCTAAATTATATGATTTTAATTAGAGATGGGGGTATTCGTAAATGAATGCGCCCACACAGGTGGACATAACGAGGGTCCAGCCCCGTGGGGCTGGATGGTTCACTCACTGATTTGCCATGGGCACAAGGGCCGCAGAGCCTTCCAATGGTTCTGGAGATTGCGTTTGGCTCGGCACTCCTGGCATGTGGCAGGACAACAAGCCTCTCTGCTAGGTTGAAGAGTAGCTCGCCAAACATGATCTCCAGAGCCATAGGAAGGCTCCGCACTGACCATGGCAGATCGCTGAGTGGACAATCCGGCCCCATGGTGCTGGACCCTTATTATGTCCACCTGTGCGGAGATATTTGTATACGAATACCCCCATCTCAAATTTTAATCCTTAATCTATTCCAGGATAGGTCGGGGTAGAGGTTTCCATCTCTTTGTATCTGTCTAGTGGATAGACCCTGATATTGGGAAAGTGTGAAGGCAAGAGAAGAAGGGGACAACAGAGGATAAGATAGTTGGACAGTGTCATTGAAGCTACCAACATGAATTTGACCCAACTCCGGGAAGCAGTGGAAGACAGGAGGGCACAACTTTATGACTAAACAAATACAGTGAATATCAAAAAGACAAAAATCAGTATTATCCCATTTTGGGATATATGTTGCGTCTGATTGGCACATTATGCCATTATTCCTACTTTATGACTAAACAACAAATATAGTGGATACCAAAAAGATAAAAATCACTACTTGAATTAAAGTACCATTTTGGGATATATGTTGTGTCTGATTGGCACATTATGCCATTATTCCTGTCTTCTAAAGTGTAATGAAGTCTTCTTCAAAATTAAAATAATCCATTATTTTGCATGGCTAATATGAGCCAACAGCTATATCAGTTGGGGATGATGATACACCAATAGAGGGCACCATCTCCAGGGAAGTTAGATAAAGGAATAGTTCAGCCACCTGAAAGTTAATAAATATTTTAGTGAAATAAAGTTGGAAATTTAGATTATTCAGTGAATCACTCCAATACAGATTTTTATGTTCATAGGTAATAAGCATTCTAACAGTTGTCTTCTAAATATACCAGATAAACATTCAGTATAGATAGCAATACGCCCCAAAATGAAGTATGAGTTTAGTCAATTGATATATTTCTACTCAATTTTCCATTTTTCCCTTACTGTCAAGAATATAAATGGGGCAATTCGTATGATTAATCGCAAATCTTCAGTCCAGGCAGTACCAGGCAGTCTGAAGACTCCCAATCCACTCTCTAAACGCTGGGAGGAGTGAGGAAGCAGGCAGGCACCCTTTTCACTGGCCAACAGTTAACTGAAAGTTCAAATTTTGCACTTTCCCTGCCTCCCACGTGGGTTTTTTTCAGTTCTTAACTCAAATCTAAGTATGTAAGTCAAGTCAATATTTTCCTATGAGAGTGGTTCTTAAGTCAAAACGTTCTTAACTCAAGTCGTTCTTAAGTCAAGACCCCACTGTAAAGGAATAGTTCAGCCACCTGAAAGTTAACAAATATTTTAATGAAATAAAGTTGGAAATTTAGATTATTCAGTGAATCTCTCCAATACAGATTTTTATGTTCATAGGTAATAAGCATTCAGTTGTCTTCTAAATATACCAGATAAAAATTCAGTATAGATAGCAATACATCCCAAAATGAAGTATGAGTTTAGTCAATTGATATATTTCTACTCAATTTTCCATTTTTCCCTTACTGTCAAGAATATAAATGGGGCAATTCGTATGATTAATCGCAAATCTTTTCTTGATTTAAAATGCTACCTTTAAAGAAAAAGGGCCATAGGAAGCAACATCCAGCGTCATACTAGAAGGAAAGAGATCCAAAGAAGCTAATTTCCCCACATTCTGATAAAAAAAGCTGTACAGAATATCAGAAAACCCTCCTGGATGAAGTAGAGTTTGCTAGATTAGGCTGAAAGGGGAAGTAGGTTTTAAGAAATTCTCATGCAGGTGCATTCAAGGTCCCCCTTTTCTTCCAGCTCCATGCTCCACACCACCCTATTCAGGAAGCACCCCCAAACATCTATATAACATTTTATGGGGACTTCTGAGGGAAAGTGGAGACAAGGAAGTTGCCAGCTTCAGGTAAATGAACTTGGCTTACATCCCTCTGGAAAAAAAAAATGTAAATTCAGTGGTTTTGACGCCAGGCAAAATTAGACTTCAGTTTTTAATCAGTAGGTCTAATTAAGTTAGTCATAACTAATATGCCAGTCAATTTCAGTAGCAAAGAAATGTTGAAAGTGTACAAAAGGAGCCTTGCTGGATCCTGGCATCTAAAACTTTTCCAGCTGAAATGACACAAAACTGTCATTTAAAGGTTTGCAAAAGTAAACATTTCCAGTTCTCTCTGAAATTCCTAGAGGAATGAACTAGTTTCCACCTACATCTGAAGAAACACCCGTAAATAATGTATGGGTACTTCTCAGAGACGTGGTGGCGCTGTGGGCTAAACTGCAGAAGCCTGTGCTGCAGGGTCAGAAGACCAAGTAGTCGTAAGATCGAATCCACGCGACAGAGTAAGCTCCCGTTGCTTTGTCCCAGCTCCCGCCAACCTAGCAGTTCGAAAGCATGCAAATGCAAGTAGATAAATAGGGACCACTTCGGTGGGAAGGTAACAGCATTCTGTGTCTAAGTCGCAATGGCCATGTGACCACGGAAGATTGTCTTTGGACAAAACGCTGGCTCTATGGCTTGGAAACAGGGATGAGCAACACCCCCTAGAGTCGAACACGACTGGACAAAAATTGTCAAGGGGAACCTTTACCTTTACCTTACTTCTCAGGGTGACGCTTTGCACACCTTAGGTCTCATCACAGAAAAAGCATAGCTGCATGTGTGTTAATAACCTGGAAGGTGGAACATGCTGGTAGATAAAATATACTTAAACAAATATACTTAGCCCTTCACTCAGCTTTCGAATCTAACTTTTCCTCTCCCCCTTTAAAAATGCTTTTCCTTAGCATATATAAACAGGAAGCTGCTGAGTAGTTTCCATATTGCCTAATAAGTTACTGCACAACTTCTTATTGATAGCACCACTCATACTGCATGTTCTCAAGCCAGAAGTGACTTCAAACACCCGTGCATGTGTTCCACGCACATTCACATCTGAGTCATGTATGATGTGAATGTCACTTCAGAGAAACTGTACAGTGAATTCTTAAGGACCCATGCGCATGACAATGAGTTACTTCACTGATATTTCTTGGTTTTCGACTTCAGATTTTATTTTATTTTTTGCTACTAAGTTCCATCCTGTCTTGGGCAGGATGTGGACAGTTTTTTCTAATGCTGCCATTCTAAAATTGGCTCATAATTTTTCCCAGTTTAGTTTACTTGATGAAAGAAAAATGTGTTTTTTTTTCCAATCGACTAACTGACTGTGAATTGTAATTATGAGGTATTTAAGGACTTTTACATCCCACCCCCGCCCCAACCTGTTTTCACATTGTGATCATCGGTCTCAATTATTTGTTGAAAGCATCATGGGAAAGAAAAGCAGAAAACCCACAAACACAGTGAAGAAACTCCCAAGTATACTATATTTTAGACAAGGAACTAGTTTACCCTTACAGTAAATAGCATGATCCAAAACAAATTAAGTGGGTTATTGTAAATTGAACAGACGCACCTTCTGGGTTGCATTATAGATATGTAAAAGAACGATACAGTTCTGATTGAAAAGTTTGAAAAGTTCCTGCCTAAAACTATTAGGTTATTAATGGACACAGTTCCCCATCTTGCTCCATATCTGCAGGATGCTGGCATTTTCTACTGCTGTTCTCTTTACAATAAAGCTAGTTTTCTATAGGATGTTCATTGGGTGTGTGTGTCTTTTTTAAAGCACCTATTGAACAGGTGTAAAATTAACTCTGGTTTAGGGCAACATTAATGCTTTTTTTCCTTGCTTTTTCTCTCCAACACTTATTAAAGGCTTTTGCTTGGTGGTCAGACTTAATGGTTGAACATGCGGAAACCTTCCTCTCATTGTTTGCGGTAGATATGGATGCTGCACTGGAGGTCCAGCCCCCAGATACCTGGGACAGCTTTCCACTCTTTCAACTCCTAAATGATTCCCTTCGTAATGACTGTATGTATTCTATTTTGAGCATTTATTATTATTTCTTTATTAGGACAAAAATACTGAGTTAATGCCAATCTTTTTTTTCCCCCTTTGTTGTACTGTTTACCAGTTCTATATGGCAGATTCTGGCTACAAATTACCGTTAATAAAGCAGTCTTAGTACATATGAAAAAAAATTATAATTGTACATGTTCATGGACAAGGAATTCTATTAGTAACAATTACATTGATGAATAATAGCCACATCAGTTCTGACTTATGGAGACTTTCCCAGGGTTTTCTAGGTATAAACTACTTATAAAGTGGTCTACAGCCACCCCAAGCTTCTGTTAGTTCCCTGGGAACTTGCAGTTTGTCCAAGCAACACAAGTGACAAACAACTTAACACCATTAACCAGACATACATATTTCAGGTGATACTGGTTGGTTTTACTTGGAGACACAGTGGGGATTTTTGAAAGCATCCAAGTTGGACAGTTTAAAACATACATCTAGGATAGCCTTCTCTCTTTTATTTCTGAGACCAGGAGATTCAACAGAACATTTTAAAAAACATCCATTAAAACTTCCTAATTTTGGTTGAAAGGAGAGTTCGTATGTGCACAGGAAGATGGTGTAAGCAAAGCTGGATAAATCCCTAGAGTTTAGACTGTATAGTTTCCAAATAAGTAAAAAATATCATAACTCGGTCCCTTTTCATTTGATTTAAATTAAAATAGACGAGTGATGCAATTTTTATATTTAAAGAAAAGGACACAGTGGCAATAGCATCAAAAATACAACTTTGAAAATGTTGTAGTAATCAGCTTTTGGGCTTTTAGTCTGCAATCCTATACCCATTTGCTGGCAAATACTCCCCACTGAACTCGGGGAACCTTCTTCTTCTGATTTTACATGTATTATGTTGTTTCATGGTATTAAGTTGTTTCCAACTTATGGAAAGGCCCTGTCATGAACTGTTCTGCTCAGGTCTTGCAAACTGAAAACCATGAGTTGTTTTATTGAGTCGGTTGTCACACATCAGGTCTTCTTATTTTCTTACTGCCTGCAGTCATTTTAGCTTTTAATAGAAATACTTGTTTTAATGAAGAAATTAATTCTACAATTACTGTACCCTACTATCCCAGTGATTACCAAAATTCCTCCACAGCAATTGTCTGATGACAAAATTCTTATTGGCTAAAATCCTCTTTTGTAAGTTATCCTGCTTAAGGCTCATGATTCATCCCCTGTGGTGATATTTTGGAAACAAAACATGTGTCGGTTGTTCTGGGTTTTTCGGGCTCTTTGGCCGTGTTCTGAAGGTTGTTTTTTCCTGACGTTTCGCCAGTCTCTGTGGCCGGCATCTTCAGAGGACAGCAACCTGTGC